GACACCAACTAGCCCAATAGGGCAACAGGTAGCAAACGGCGTAAGCTGTAAGTGAGGTTATGTAGAGATAGTAGTAATCACAGATCACAGGGGTACTCTGTAATCTGTGGTAGCAATTAGCATGCACATAGAAGCACAGCATACACGTAAGGTGTAAATTAATAAGATTCTTAGAGAGGACTACAAGTTTTAAAGGATAACTCCCGAAAACTCGTAGTACCAAAAAGGGGGTTTTTTAGTTGGTAAGAATCCAACACTACCCAGGGTCCGGAACACTGGGTGTCTTCGCGAAGATTTTTATTACTCCACAACAAAAAAAAAAAAAAAAACCCATATGCTCCTGCAGAATATGATAATACGGATTACAGTCGGCAACAGTGGTGAATGTTGCCATAGAGAAGGAGAAGTAGTATTTTTATTTGTCGATGCAAAACATTAACAACAGGACAAAAGATAAATTCAAGAATAATGCAAATAAAAAGACCACATCCATGAGCGATTCTACTATTGGCAACACTTGCTTAGTTGATCCTGAATATTCATATACCGGGGCCGTGCAACTAGTGTCTATTCTAGTAGTTTATAATTTGTGTAATCCAAAAGGCGAGAGTGGTTGTGAAAATCCAAGGCGTAAACGCTAAATACAGTCAGTATTTAGTAAGAAATATTTTTTTCTATTATTTCTTAGCTTGCTGTTTTATTCCAATTTGAAACACTTTATTTGCACAATAAAAAATAAAATTATAGATAAATTATATAAAAAGTCGTCATCAATTCCCGAGTGACGCATCAATACTTCTTAGCAGTTTGTCAAGTTGTCTTGTAAGTTAACTTTTCAAGCTGAATTCAGCTTGAAATAACTGAATCATATTTGCTTACGAACGTTCAAGAAAGAATGCTTTAGAAAACATTGGAAAAATAATGGGAAAATCACATGCCACTGTACAGTACCTAACAAAAATATAAACCTAAAAAAAATAGCGTTTTTCGTTTAGTTGTTGTTGACTTCGATTCGAAGTTGGAAACTGAAATTTCTGTTTGAAAATATTGAAATGCGCACAGGCACAAAAGTGTCAGCAATAAACAAACTGAAATCGATCTGCGAAGTGAAGCGAAGAATCATCGAAAAGGCCAACAAGCAAATTATTATAAAAATAATCTTATATTCTGTAGTTTTTTTCGAAAAAGTGTTTGAATATTCAGTTTGCTACCGACAGTGGACTAAATGGGTTTAGTCTAAAAGGATTCTCACTAAAAGTCCTTTTTGTGTCGTGTGAATCGCGGTTTTGGATGGGAATTATATCTAATCATTTTGGCCTTTGCAGGATTAAAGTTTCTATTTGAAATATATTTTCATTGTATGTAGTACATACTTTCCTGACTGTGCTTCAATTCCAAATCAAAATCAATTCCTGGGCTTCAGTCATTTATTGTCTATTTATCAATTAAAATACGTTTCGGTGTTTTCCACCATCATCAGTTTCTATGTGCAGCGTTGTTGCTACTTTAAGCCTTGGCATATATTTGGAGTATTAATTTTGTCCATTTTGCACACAAAGCAATAAACAGTATTTCGCTTCGGCTTCGTAACGGCGGCTCCCACTCCGGCCTCTTCGCGCCTAAGGCTTGGGACGCACATATGCACCTTGAATTCGACATTTTTCTCTTAGTGCGGGTGCATCTGTAGATCTGATAAACTTTTCAAATTCACATTGCGTTATTAAACTGACAGTGATTTTGATT